GTCACATCAAAAGGGAGCCAATGCACAATAAAACTTCAACAGAAAATTAGAAATAAACATGGAAAACACAGACTGCAACAAGCGATGTGCAGTCAACTCGGCTGTCGCCTCAACAGATTTGAAGTAGAACTAACCCTGGATCTTGACACCTCCGAGATGACTCATATCTCATCTGAACCGGTAAGACTGGACAACTGTACCCGAGGATGTTGAGCACGATGAAGGGAATATTATGTAAACTGTGTCTGGAAGTGGTGGGTCATCGTACACTTCATCCTGTCTAGGACACCAAAATTCTGCTGTGAAATGGGGCTGCGGTGTCACAACCAGCAGGATTGACCCCAAAAATTGATTGGGATGAATGTACGAGTCGACCAGGCAATGATTCAGTCAATCGGAGGACAACTTGGTTAGTTGCCTCACACACGAATTTATTCAGCTGTCAAGGCGAATTCAAGGTGGAATCATAGAAATCACAGTCATGAAGTAGAATTATGATGAGTAGGTTGAAATTAATCCACGGAGAAACCTCATAAAATCTTAAGGAAAAATCCCAAGGAAAATCCCCAGGTGCAGGGACCGGATAACTCCTACATGTACATTCTGCCTGTAATTAACAGAGATAAATAAGGAAACCCCATAGTTATTGAAAAAGGAGTGCGCACACAGCAAAGGTGGCCGTCAAACCCAGTACAGGTATCGTGCGCATATGGTGTCCATGCAAAATACAGTACACTAAGGTATATACACACAGCGGTGTCTATGACAATGCCACGCCATCGGATTTCCCAAAGTTTTAGGTAAAACTATACGACTCTCCCGAAAAATCACACACAAAATAAAATGAAAATCACTTTCCACAGGTTCTGGAGACAGGCCACAATAGGGTTGCCTTACATTTCAAACAGTTGTGTGCCGACAAACTGGCCACAAAGACACAACAAATTCAACGTCCAGTGGTGCTGGAGAAAATGGCGAAGTGCTAAGCTCGCGAAACATGGGTGCGCCCTGCCGTGTGTGCACACTAAACTAATTTACATGTGAATACGGGGTTAGTCCCTATGCAAATGAGGTCGAGTTAAATATAAACTTGTTTCCAGGAGACAAAGCTAACCAAAAGAAAATCCATATCCCCACAATTACGAGTGAGTTGTTGAAGTAAAAGGTTTTTGTTTGGGGTTTTTATATCAGATGTATATAATTAGAAAGAGCGGTGCGACCAACTACCAGCATTGTCTCCACGAAATAGATAACAGTAAAGTCAGCCACAAATATGGTTTAGCTTTTCCTGCTCTAATTCTGATTTTTTTTAAATAATCATTTATAAATCCATTCTCAAATACAACACATCAATCATTATTACGTGCTTGCTAATGTGACATGCAGATCTGATGAAAAGTTATGTTCGTGGCCAAACTATACTGTGAATCGCTCATATTAACTCTTTTTATGGCTTCAAGTCACGCGAGAG